GTATGACGCACTGTAATCTCTCCGCTTCAAACATCTTACGATTTGCATGATATTTACGAGATGAAGCACACCAAATGTTGCATACGTCCTGCATTCTAGCTGAAGAGCTTATCGTGTGGGTTAGCATGCTTTACCATATCCAAAAAAGCCTAGCGAAGAAACGTCAGCAGACACTTTAATGAAATTTTCCAACAAGGATCTGCGCTTTCCCCATTTCTTTTTGTTGTGTCTCACGAGATCTTAAAGGCAAAAGTCGGGCTCAATAAGGGGGTATTATGGCGATTGAAACTGAGTATAGAGATGCGAAGTGGAACGACAGTGGAGAAAAAACTGAGAAAAACCGTCGACAAGGCCGTTAACAAAACCCTCTTTCCCACTAGCAGTGAAGGAGGCTGGCTTGGGAAAGAGGCACGTACAAACAAGTTTTCTGGAGATGTCAGTTGATACGGCAATCTAGCTGATTTCACACGTTATGCCAGCCACGCACCACTTCCGGAGGTGGGCGGTCCTGGATTGACCAGGCGGCCCTGGATTGAAACCGAACGCCCCGGGGCCTGCTAAAGTGGTGTATGTAAACAACCACCATGCCCTGAATGCCAGACGATTTAGCAATCGAATTTTGATGCGAATGATTGGAATGGATATGCCCAGTGATCATTATCGTATTTCTTTTAAATCCTCTACCCACATTCGCAGGAAATTTAAGCAAAGTGTGATGCTGACGACGGAACGAAAATGAAATAAAAATGAAATTAAGTGTGGATCTTGTCCAGGTATTCGAATCAAAGCGACTTTGTATAACTACGCACATCGTTATTATCAACCCTTATCAGCTGTTATCATCTTCGGTCCACCACCAAATATGTTCCCGTCCCACCCTCTACATCACTTCTTGGAAACCAACGCCTGACTGCTGCTGGTGCCGCGCTATGAATTTCGTGACACTTGCGTTCTAGCGCCTTTATCAGCCCTTATCAGCTGTTATCACTTTCTTCCCCCACCAAATATGTTCCCGTCCCACCCTCCACATCACTTGGAGCCGAACGTCTAACTGCTGCTGGGACTCGCGCTATTCATACAACAACCCTTGCATTCTAGCGTTCCTCATCAACCTTTATCAGCTGTTATCATTTTTGGTTCCACTCCAAACCGTTTCCGTTCCACACGCTACATCATATCCATAATACAGATGTAAAAGATTAAAGAAATACAAAAATTTCTTCTGGAAAGCTCTTCGAATTTCTTAGCGCACACATACACATACAGACAGACATAGCGTTTTATATACGCTGTGTCTATATATTTGTGTCTGCACGCTATCGTGCGCACACACGCGTTCCACTGAAATTGGAGGGCATGTGGGGCGTCTGGTCACTCAGCTAGGCATCCAGTGGTACATTAAGCGAAATGCGTAATGGAGAAACTAAGCTTCTGAATGCGCCCAAGACTGCTCATTGTTTTTTACCGGGAAGATAAATTGTTCCGCACATTCTGATGAGAGCCAAAACGTTTCGAAAAACCTGTTGGTGTTTTGACAAGTTCACTCTTCAAACATTATGTTTGATTTGCCTTTATTTCCGGGACTGACCGTCCATAGTGAACAGTTGAAGTGTTTCAAACACAGATAATGCATTAAATGTTCCACGCAAAATTAAATCATGCACATAAAACGAATTCTTTACAGGTTGTTCATCTCACAGTCTACAGCTACTTCGTAATAGCATTATTTGCTCGACAATATCTCGATAGAGACCCACTCAAGAAATCGGTGAGCAAAATATCGTCTTCCGGTGCTTGAAGCTCACCAAATGCTTTAAAGTGTCGTTTTGTCAAGATTTTGTTTCGAGGATTATGAACAGGATATGAGTATTAAAGAGCCCGTCAGGTTGCAAGCTTCCGTTGTGAAAAAAAAAACTTTCGTGATTTAGACATTTCACGCCGGGCGATGTAACATGCTTAGCAAGTTATTTGTCTCTTTGAAACAGTGATGATTATCAGCTAGCCGGCAACATTCATTTAACTCATAACATATTACATACATTCATATATTTGACTCATTTGAACTAAATATGATCAGGAGTACATACATCCGTAGTGAAACCATCCCTGTACGCGTTCTGTAGATTAATGTAATTCGAAGTAAAGCTCCATGAAGTGAGGCGGAGCGAGGCAAGTTAACGACATCGGATCCATGACGTTTTTATACTAACTGGCCATATTTCGGCTATGAAGAATTAGCAACACATCGATGCTTTGTCTAGACCCATATCACTTCGAAGATCCTGCTGAAGCCTTCGGGTTTGTGCAGTTGATACCTCAGAGATTTCGCAATGCTCTTTTGCACCACCTGGTTGTGTTCATATCCGATTTTTTTGCTTAAAACTGAACATTTCATTCCAGATAGATCTATATGTACCAATCATGACTATGCTGCAATTCACGTTCTTCATTGGATGGTTAAAGGTGAGAAAAAATTAGAAGGCAAATTTATTGACTTACGCGTCTTTTTTGAAAAATTTCGAATTCCGGGAGATTGCGACCCTCTTTTCGGTGGACCAATACAAGCTATCCGCTTTGAAATTTCCAACACGCGGTTGACAGCCTGCACAGCCGAATTGAACGACTTGCCAACCCCTTCCACTTTGCTTTACTTCAAAAATTACTCTATTTCAAATACATTCATTTTCGACAGATTTCTTTTTTCCTCCTTTTTTCTCTACTAATGGTCCACTTGCTGCTATTGCTACACAAGTGTGTTTCTAGGGCGTGCCTTCAACGAAGAGTAAAAGATTGTACCCCAAGTTCTGAGTGTAGAAATGAGATTGTTTTTCCAATGTCTTGAGTGACATGTGGGTGTGAGCATTGTTACCCACAAGTGAAAAGTGTGGCACATACAATACATGATTCACTGCTCAATAATGACAACTACCTTCAAGAAAGAGAATCGAATAGACAAAGATGGCTGATCTTCCGGATTAGCAACTGTTGAAACTGTTGCATTTGAATTGATTGTTCATTTTTTATTTAGGTTGCCGAAGTACTACTCAATCCACTCGGTGAAGACGATGACGACTTCGAATGCAACTGGATCATTGATCGAAACCTTCAGGTACTAAAATACCGGCCTTCTTTACAAATTTTCTGAGGGTGATTTTTCC